TATATGCCTGTTTTGATTGCTTGATATGTGATGACTCATGTAATTTTCTTTCAATAATCTTTTAAGTAGTATTATTATTTCCATAGGAGAGGAGAATAATGTGCACATTGATGTCTTTCTCTCTCTCATTCACCTCCTATCCTAATGTTATACTTGTTAGTGGTGTAATTTCCCATGTAGTTTCCAGTATTTTATTTACTTTTGTAATTCATAGCCATTTTCTGTGATTTGCAAAGGCTTCCACCCTAGATACATTAATATGTTGGTGTCACAAATGTCAGGATGTGTGACAAGGAGCACTATTATCACCTGGAGGGTAGGAAGGAGCTATATACAAAGTATCATCTTCTTTACCTTGAAAAATAACTAGATTTTTTTTTTCTTCATAACTTTTCAGAAAATAAAGCACTTGAGACCTGGTTGTGATTTGAGAGGCAAAAAAAAAAAAAAAAAAAGTACTGCTAAATTTTATAAAATCAGGAAAAATACTGCCTGCATGCTTGGCAAGCTATTTTTTTATAATCCCAATAAAACTCTGAATTCTTCTAACACTTCAAACTTTTCAAGATTGAAGATCTTTCACAATGTATTTTTACTGACTCATGGGAACATGCTATTGTTTCTTTACAAGATTATAAGAAGAATTCCCTTTTTTGTTAAATATACTATTTTGGTAGCAATTTTCCATCATTACTTTGTTCTTTCCAACACCTGTATCATATTTTTGGCAAATCCAGGCAGACAGCTCATTTTGCAAACTTAGATATAATCATAATCCACCTTAACTTTGTAACTTTAGAGGTTAGCCACTAAAGTTTTATTTTTTTAGAAATTATTTGACAGATATTTTAAAAAATTATTTTCTACCACAACTGGAGTCCTCTTTTACACACCATATCAAAATATGCTCTTCCTGCCCATAAAATATTTCAGTGTTTCTCTTTTGCTGACAAACTGAAGTTGAGATTCTTTACTTTGGTGTTTAAGCCTCAGCATTCTGGCTCCAATCCAATGTTCCTCTTTCATTCCCTGTGATACTCAGCCAGTCATGATCGGTTCTTCTACACTAGACTATTTAAAGTTTTCATGCTGACCAACACCTTCTCTTCTGTCACTCATTCTGTGTTTTCTGTAGGGCGGCAATGCCTTCCTCCCATTATTTTTTCCCTCTTTATCCTCTACATTCCCAAATGTCCTTCTCTGGGAAGCTTTTCCCTGGACAGTCAGAGAAAATTCATCACTCTCTCTGCCCTCCCCCATCCTTTGTCCACAATTATTTTACTGATTGTAAATGGTTTTGTTCCCAAGTTAAAGGCAAGTGCTCTCATCTCCAGCCACCGCCTCATTGCTCACCATATTTTCTACCTACAGTAAGCTCTCAAATGATGATATTTGAATTGCAATCCTCCATAGGTAGGTTATTTGGTTCTTCTCATGAGCAGCTGGATTTTAACCAAGGCAAAACTACTTGTAATAGTGAAAAGAAGATGCTGAGAAAAAGCCATTGGAATCACCCCATGGGCAATGGGGATAGCAGGATAGGGTAGAACCTCTATGAGGGTAACAAACGCAGAGGAATAAAATGTGGTTCATCACCATGTTCTTCTGTTTGCCTGGAGTCCTGAGCATAAGAAATGGTATTATCTAGGATTAAACAAGAAAGTAATAAGTTCCAAAACTAAATTTGAATGTATAGTTAAATTCCTTTCCTCATACCAAGAAACGCAGATTTCTAGAGGGCCCTGATTCACGTTTATTAGTTTTAGAGGAACCTCAGTATTGCCACTGCATGATGCCAAATATATTTGCAACATATAATATAGTGTCATGTTCAAGCCCCTATAACAAGGGTTCTGGGGGAATTTAAAAGGGTGAGAAAAATTAAATCATTCAGCATTTTTTCAAGTCAAAGTGTAACTGCTATTTCTCTTTGAAAGAAATCTACATTTAGGGGAATCTCATGTCAGTCCTGAGTCTTCCTGAGATATGGGATTGTAACTCAAAGTCCAGCTAGAACACCTTTAAAATTTCCCTATTGGCCTCCCTATTAGTTTGCACACACAGATTAGGTGACTGGTTATCTGTCTCACAGCTGCCACCTTTCTACTTTTACTTTCAAACATTGTTGATTTGGTTGCTTTGTCGGGTAAATGGAATGTCTCAAAGCCCAACCATCCTAACTGCAGCAGATGATCATAATTTTTGTTACTCCTGCCATATTTGACACTCTTGACTTACAACAGAAGCTACATGTGACTGGTGTTATAAAGTAGTTCCAGTCCAATTAAAGTTTTAATATTTAGAAAAGTTCATATTTTCATCAATGCTTGTATAGAGGCTGAAAGGTTTTACATTATTTTAAAATAATTATGAAATAGTCTAAGTAATTGACATAGTATTTTAATATAGCAAGAAGTAATCTCTCTGAAGAAGTATCCCTTTTAGCCTGCTACACTTTACTTAAACTTTGTAAATACTTATTGAAAAAATGTGACATAGAAGCAAGGACACTGGCTTTAGAGTTTGGAGTCCTTTCTCAGCCTTGCCAATTACTAGCAGAGCTATGGCGTTGGAAAAACAACTAAAATCCCCTCACTTTTAATTTTCTCAATTATCAAATGTGAATAATCATTCTTGACCTATCTAACACCCAGGATATTTACAAGGATCACATGAAATGATGTATATACATAAGAGAAATTTGAAAATGTAAAACATTATTTCAGCCTATATTCTAAAAACTCCATAGCCCTTTCCTTCTTTGTTTTCTCATTTCTAGCTTATTCAATTAAACTGAGCTGAAGAGGAATTAAAGATTATCTCTTTAGCAGCCATCGGAAATTAGCATGGGTAGCGTGTTCTCCTTTGATCTATGGTCATCTTTCTCATAAGGTCTCTGCTTGCATCATAGTGCTCCGTTGGCTTGGCTCTGGGTAGACATTGAGTTTCATGCTCTTGGAATTAAAACTCTTTTAACTTGTACTCTTCGTTCTCCTGAATTCCTTTGTAGTCAATCTCACAATTAGTGTTTGGTAGGACAGTAAGTTGGTGCAAATCTCACAGACAGACAAGATAAAGGGAGTCTCAGCTTTGGCAAACTGATGACAGTCACTGAAAATCAGATATCGGGTGAATACCTTGGCAGATGGGCAGGGCACAGGGTCAAGAGAGTCTCATAGCAGGCACAGCAGGCCTAGCATGGAGGTGCCTAGAGAAAGAGTTGGCATCACAGAAGTTAGGGAAGAGGGGGACTGGAGAACTGACACAGGCTCTGAGGCTCAGGAAGACCAGAATCAGACTCCAGTCCTGGAGAAACAAGACAAATGGCATGGACCCATTTATTGGACCTTGGACACCAAATAGTAGTTTTGTCCACAAAGAACAAGGCCAGTGTCTGGTGTCTGAGATTGAATTAAAATATCAGTATAGATGATATAAACAGGAAGAATGGATAGTTGAGCTGTCAAGATAAAAGGAATTTGCTTGAGGATCAACATCATCTTAGAGTCTGAGAAGAACTCAGTCGGCAGGTGGTGATCATCTGGCCTCATCAACAAAAATTAGAGAAACGCTGAAGTTAGAGACAGAAGCCAGATCTGTGAACACAGTGAATACCATTCCCTATTTCCACAGAACACATTTTCCTTCCTTTCCTAAAGCCATGCATTGACCTAATAAAATGCACAAAGGGCTGAATTCAGATGCCAAAATTTTTTCTTTTCTTCCTCTTCATGGTGTACGCCAGAGCTTATTTTATTCTACTAGCATGTCCTAATATGTAGCTATTAGTGCTACTGAAACTCCAAAAATTAGTTATTTTTTCCACAAATTTTTGAAAATAATTAAAAAACTTTTAAAGTTTTTTATTGTATTTCTTTTTCATGTTGTCCATTTTTTCCTCAAAATTATTTTTCAAATTTTCCATATTTCCAGACAACATTCTTGCTACCTCTTTAGAAACTCCATTTCTGTGACCCAGGTGTCTCTAGGTGTCACAAAACTCTCACCTTCCAACTTTAACTTGGCAGTTGTTACCACTGCAGCAGCAAAAGACCGTGTCATATTAAATGCTGAAACTGCAAAACAAAAGCCACAAGGTGACAGTTTTGTGAAAGGATGTGACTGTTATTCAGATAGAACTCTGTTGAAAAGAATACCATCGTTTCTATCCAGTAGAACTGTTCTGTGCTCTACAAATGGCTCATGGTACCTAACAGTTATAGTATAGTTAATAGCTATGCTAGTCACGCATTCTGGATAGTAGATGCTTCCCCCAGTGAAGAGTGAACACTTTGGACATAATTTGAATTTAGACGACGAACTCATCTTTCAAACTCTTTAACAAACTTTCACATATAAATATATATGGATATAAATATGAAAGAAATTTTTTGAAAATAACTTCTGGGTTACATTTTGAGATGTGCACACATTTAGCATACACTACAATAACTTTTAGTTAACCTTTGGCTATGAAAACAGTCGATGCGTACAACACACCGTCTTTGGGTTTTCACTAGAAAATGAAATGAAATTATTGTACTTACTAAGTGAGAAGGGAGGGTTGATATTTGAAAAATAATTTCAACATGCATAGAAAACATATAAAAACAAATTCTGGCAACCCAAAATATTCCTGAAGCATCTGTTTATCTGGGTTTTAGGGTACATGTCTTTCTTTGAGAACATATATTACAACATAGGTTTCACTTACGCTTTAGAGAGAGACAAAGGAAACAAGTATAAGAACAGTGTATTGTGGATGTCATAAGGAGACAGACAGGGCTAAATCTGGCATCTCTGGGAATGTATTAGGTTGGTGCAATAGTATCAATGGCAAAAACCACAATTACTATTGCACCAACCTATATCTATTCAACTATCTACTATCTCTTTGAATGGCACAGCTCTACTGATACATGGCTAAGATCAGGGCTACCTATCTCTGGAGGTAAATGGGGGCCTCTCTGGATGTATATATAGGAACACTATAACCTTACTTTGATGGTAGCCAGGACTACCTCCATTATAGCGCATTGTCTTGGCGTCAGACCCTTGGCATCCTCTCGAATCATGTGCTCCTGGAAAACAGGGTAGGAATTGCTTATAAAACAACCAGTTCATGTATTCAACAACTACTTTAAAACATAATCTGTATTATCCCCATATGCAAAATTCCCTATTTGAAATATCTTCTGCACATGAATGCATTTAAAATGAAATGATTGTTTGGTCACATATTTTATAAATCTCCACTTTGTCAAAGGAAGAAATGGTAAATGTCTACTTGAAAAGAAGTGCCTTGATCGCGGTGTGGTTTTATTTTCACTTGCAAGCTACTGTTAGGAAAAAAAGAGAGAAACCTGGAAAATGCGTGACAAAATTTTTTCACCCGATTTCCTTGGTTTATGTCTGTCACACTGAGGAATGTCAATCATGAAAAGGATTTAAGAAGCAAATTTAAGCCTCTCCCAATTATTACTGATAAAGTCTACTTTAAATATAATGCCTCCATTTTATTCTTCTTCTTAGATACCCTCAATTCTTACTCGTTCCTGGGAAAAGCCCCACGGAAATTAACTCAATTTGGCTGTGAAGATTTTAAATATTTTATAATCATTTAAAATAGTTTAGAACTGATTTTAAAACTTATTTCATTATTTTACAATGGATTTTCTTCATTGTTCACTGTGGCTTGTTTCAACCCATCATAGAAAGCTTATTTAGGGAAATGATGGCAGAAAAAGAAAATAATAAAGGAAATAAAAATCTAAGGGAAAAATTTAAAAATATCTGATCCCCCCCAAACTGACACAATCATCCCAGGGCTGTCATTATGTCATATAAACAACAACACTCAACAAATATTTATTGCGTGCTTATTATGTGCCAGCACTGTTCACAGGGAATGAGATCTATTGTTTAATACAGGGAAGACTTTTGTCCTACTGGAGCTTAAACTTATGTAGGGGCCTCTGTGAATTAGAAGAAAAGTCCCACGTGGGTGAACATAGCTCTGAGCAGGTATGGAATGATGAGTAAAGCAGTGCCTTCCGTGAGTAATAAAAGGTGTCTTATTTTTTTATGAGAGGACAGCTTCAAGTCAACGCATACAGCTTGGCAAGTGGAACATGGGCTCAATTTCAGCTGTCACTTGCTCCTTTATGTAAGCATTTTTGTGCAATGCACGAACCATGCCATCAAACCCAGTGGCTTGTCCTTCTATTTTGGCCCTTATCTTATTGTTTTATTTAGTAGTTGCCACGACTTCCAGAAGACAACAATCTATCTATGTCTGGCTCATTCTTTCAGCTTTTCAGTGTCTGTTTTGGCAGTTGTTATCTGCTAGGCACTCAGTAAATTTTTGGTAATTGGATTGTACTTCCTTCAGTGTGTGTCACAGGATTTTTTTATGCCTCAATAGAATCATTGTCTTTGGATATTGCTAACAACATAGTGTAATGCTTCATGGATCCATGATATATATTTACACATCTTACTGCATCTTTCTCTGATACATGGATTTCAAGTTAATCATATTAGTTCATTTCACAGTTTTTAAATAGCAATATTATATACCCATTGAGACTCAAAGAGTAATAGAAATGTTTGCTGAATTATAGGGTAAAATGCTTTCAGACAAGTAATTAAAACTATTTTCTATTAAATACATTTATCTGACTTCATCAGTCTTGACTGGTTTAACAATGTGGTCACATTACTTTTTAACAGATGCTAATAAGTGATATATGCTGGTGCTCTAGAAATATAATTCTTACTAGAAATAATTTTTTAGGATTTAGCAACAGATCATTCAAGTAAGGGGATCTCTGAAAGAGGCCAGCAATGAGTTATTGCCCAAGTAAAAAGTATGCAGTAAACTCAGAGTCTCAGGTGTATTTTCATCAATTGGTTTTTATATTATATCACCAGTTCCTGAAGGTTTATGCATATTTTCTTTTATGTCAAATAAATCTGATTATATGAAATACTGTCAGGCAAATATATACATTATATATATAGCATATATAATATGTATTATATAATACACATTATAAATGTTTTCTGTAATATATATTATACATTATAATATGTATATATTATATATAATATATATTACATATTATATATTATAATATAATGTATATATTACACCTAATGAAGTCCCAGAGTATGAAGTAATAGAAAATGTCAAATTGTTGAATAAATACATGTTTAATGAATTAATCCTAAATCATCGCCAAACACAGAAAACCAATTAGTTCCCCGCATTGTTCTACTTTTCTTGATCTTGTGTTCCTTTAGGCAGTTATCTATCAATACTCCTAAATAGGAATTCTGAAATTTTCTATCAGTACAATTATTTCAAATAGCACCTTTTCAGCACATCAAATCTGCTTTCAAACTAATATATTAAAAATTTAAAGACCCATGGTTTAACATTTTTTTTAAATGGAAGTGACATTCTAATAAAATAAGAGGAAATAGTTTTATACAATTTGAAGTTCTTCATGCCAGCTGGAGTTTCAGGTTTCTGTATGATACTGTAGGAGATTTATTGCTCTGTAATTCAAACAATAATAACTAAACGGACTGATAATTTAAAAATGAAAAACTCAAAAGCCAATAATGGAATATGATATAGAATGAAGTTATTTTTCTCAACATCAATAGATACAAAGACTATCTTTAGTCCTTCATATTATTTCAGTGTTGTTGAAATAATCCTGTTAGGTCATTGTATGTATAGTGTGCTTTTAGGTTATTAGAATTAAAAAAGAAATCAGTGAATTGAAAAAATAATGGATCACAAAGCATGCTAAAGTGTTACGTTTTCTGTGGACCCTGATTTTTCCCACAGAGCACGTATATACTCTCTAGGGAACCAGCCTTTATCTCGATCAGAGTTCATAAGATTTGGATTGGGTTGACTGTTCCCGAACCTCAGGGTGAGCATGTGAGTTAAGCCAATTGGCACATGTCACTTCTCAGACCACAGTGACTGGTTTGGGAATGGTGATCATACTTCCTCAGAGCTATTGATATTCCAGGAGACTTTGCTGTGATTCCCTGCACTAAGATGGGTGTTTTTCTCTATAAGATTTGAAGTTGAAAAGATGTTACATCAAAGGATGTGAGAGCAGAGACAACCAACTTACACACAGAAATGAAGGTCTGTTATGGCAATGTATCAAACAAGGAGAAGGGCAGAGTCGAGAGGTAGTGAGTATCTGGGTCCTGTGACATTGTTGGAATCTCTAATCAAGCAGTCACAGAAACCAGAGTTACCCCTGGACTATGAAATTTCATGTAGCAGTAAATTCCCTGTTTGCTTATGTTTGGCTTTCCATCACTTGAACTGAAACAGCTCTAGCTGATAGAACATTCAACTCAGGAAACTGAAGTCTGGGGAGATGGAGTGCGCTTACTAACATCACACAGATACTAGACGCATGGCCAGGGCCATTTCTTTTGCAATAAGACCTATGTTATTTCACCTTCATGGTTTTATGTGAGAAACTTCAGCAGTGTATAAATCCACTTTTCAAACTAGGCTCCAGAAATCCCAGAGAAGTAATAAAAGGGATAAAGAAAGGGATAGAGATCCAAGATCCAAAATAATAGTTTGGCAGTGACATCTACCTTTTATCTTTCCTTCCAACCATCAATAGCACTGAACACCTGTGAGTAACAACTTCAGGTGATAGCTATATCTTCCAGATGGATTCTTGGTTTTAATTTTTGTGTTAGGAATGGGATAAGGTATATGATAAAATAGAATACTGAAATTATAAGGCACATATTTTACCACAGTACATAATTATACATTTTGTTTTTTCCCTGTGCTGTACATATGAAACAATCCAATACTCAATGGCACCTAACTTTGAGCTACCAGCTGGGGGAGAAATGAAGATCACTCCCTCTGCAACTGGGAGATGACATATACTTTGCAGTTACCAAGCAAAGATAATGTATATGTTGTCTCATTTATACTCACAACATCCTTGTAACTGTTATTATTATTATTTTTTTGCATTTTACAAGAGCCACATCTGAAGATTAGGGAGGTTAAATACTTTGGCCCATGTCACATAGTAGGAAGCAGTTAAGGAAGAATTTGAATCAAGGTTACCTGTGTCTGGAACTCGTCTCTTAACTATATGCTAGTAGGTAGAAATGGAATAAAAATAGCATGTATTTTAGCCAGTCAAGTTCCTACGCTACAGGAACAGGGACTGAAGTTTCCTGTGAAAATCCAGAGTTTTGGGAATCTCAAATTAGGACTAAGCACAGGGTCATTTAGTCAGAACATCCCCCACTTGTAATGGGATTGAACAGGTTGACGAGTTGTGTCTGCTTTGATGAATTTCATTTTCCCATACTACGTTTCTTGGTTTTAAGACTTCTCTAGGCTTCACTGGATTTCTATGCAGTGTTCCATTTTGTCTTTGTTCATACCAAGCCAGTTTAATATATGAAAGAAAATATGCTCTCTAATTTAATCCAGAAGCAATAATGCTCAATCCTGCAATACAAAGTTAAAAATTCCTAAAGCAGATTGTGAAATCACAGACATACATCTTCTTAATCCTGCCATACTAGATACTATTACTAGGAGAGGATGCTTGCAGAACTGTAGTTAACTCACTACTTTCCATGAATGAGTAACTTCCTTATTTTTATTACCTTCAGTTTGGATAATTGTCCAAGATCTTTAGCTGCAATGAAAATCATCTGGGGTCCCTAGAAACAAAGAAAAAGTGAGAGAAGACGCAGTCTTAAGATATTCAGTATTAGTCACAATAGAAATGCAGTCAACAGAGAATTTCTTTATTTCCCTTATTAGAGTTATGGCTTATGCCAGATGCCCTTAATTGGTCTATTATAAAGATTGGGTCAAATATATCTAATGGTGCTGGCAGTATAACAGTCCTTATAGGTGTTCCACTTCTGAAAGTCTTAAGTTTAGGTTAAGGAATGGGTTGCTACTCATGTAGCCAGTTTAATGTAGTATATGGATTAAATCAGTGATCTTTAACTTTTATTCATTTATTTTTAGAAGAGGCAACTTCCTCATTCTACTCCCTGCAAAAATAAATGTATGCAAAATCTGAAGATACGGGGCTAAAGAAGGTGGAATTGCACCTTCTAAAATGCTGTCCAATCTATTAGCGACCTACCCTCTTAACCCCTCCCTCAGCCAGAGGCTTTCTCTAGAACCCCAAGGCCCTGGGGAAATGAATTTGAAAAACACTGGAACAAACCATCCAATGCTTTACTAGAATGAAAAACTAGAGTCATGTCTGTTGCAATGTGTGACTGGAAAAGTACTAAATTTGGCCAAGTTCATTACAGCTTGAAATATTTTCACAGGAAGGAAAATTAGCTATTCTGAACAAATGTTATCTAGTTATTTATTGTAGTGTGTATATTTATTGGAGAATTGAAGGCTATAAGTTTGAGAATAGCAACCGTGGTTAATTGTGCTCATATTTTGCCCCGTCACCTAGCACAGTGCCTAGTACATAATAGGAGCTCAAAGAATATTTATTTAATGAATGAATAAATGATATGCATTCATACTTGGATAACTCAATGCTAGAGAAATTTTAGGTGATGGTAAGCTTTCCTAGGGAAAACTTTATACAGAAAATGAAATGACATTTCTGTAACATAATATATGCATTCTTGAAAAATCTCATATTCTACAAAATTGCACACTAAAAATAATAGGACTTATGGGAAAAACAGCAATGGGCAGAACAGTCCAAGCCCTTGCAATTCTGTTACTAAAGAACTATCAAAACCATAACTGCTACTTTGGGATATGGCTTGGACAGCTAACAGGGAACTCAGCGAAGCTAATGGTTGCCTTAAGGAACATTAACAAAGCAAAATATCCTGGCCAACACGGTGAAACCCTGCCTCTACTAAAAATGCAAAAAAATTAGCCAGGCGTGGTGGCGGGTGCCTGTAGTCCCAGATACTTAGGAGGCTGAGGCAGGAGAATGTCATGAACGTGGGAGGCGGAGCTTGCAGTGAGCTGAGATCATGCCACTGCACTCCAGTCTGGGCGAAAGAGCGAGACCCTGTCTCTAAATAAATAAATAAATAAATAAATGCAAAATAAACAAAACAACAAGACAGCAGAGTTCAATAGTGGGCTGAGACAATGCTCATGCAAGTGGAGCTACCAGCAGAGGGGGAAGGTAGCCGGCCATTGTGACAGTCATGCAAGGGTCCGTTTTCCGGAGAGGGAGCCCATGTACAGTTACTCTCCTCTTTTTTCCTTTTTAAAACGAGTCTGTGAAGTAGCCAAAGTGAGAGCTTTTGTTCTTTTTCTGCTGATGTTATAGTTTTTGTATTATATTCCAGAGCCTCTGACCTAGGGAAATTTATATATAAACCAACCGAACTTCCAAATTATACTGATATTCCTCTATTGAACAATTACTTGATTGCTAACTGGTGTTATGGAAATATATTATGTATTGAAGTAAAGTGTCTGTGTGTGTGTGTGTGTGTGCATTTACAAATGTGACTTGGAACCTATATATATGTAGGCTATAAAATCATTAAACCACACATTCACAGCATTAAGTGAAACTCAAAGTAATTTATATTTTATCACTCACTGTCTGGCAGTAAATCAACAAAAACATATGCATATTTGCATCTTGGAACACTTTATAAGAAAATGTTTTCTAGGCATATGCTTTCACTGGATAAACATGGACTGAGCGTGTATAACTAATGTATAATAATACATATTTTATTTCCATTTATACTTACTCATTATTTGCATCAATTTATCTTCCTCAGTCATGGAGAAAAAAATACATTACCCCATAACAGGTGCTTGTTAGTGTTACTTTTTCCCTTGTTTGGCTCAGGATATGTGAACAGAGATACCTGGCTCTGTGTATTCACTTGATCACTGTCTAACTTTGCAGCCAATTGATCTTTCTGGTTCTTTTCCTTTTTGTTTGTGCAATATAATCGCATTCTTCAGATTCACTAAAAGGTGCCTCCTCTATTAACCTCCAAGTGGGGAGGCAAGAGATGAAAGCATAATTGAAAGGTAAAAAAAAAAAATTCAAATAGCAGTGGTGTAACTATCTCCTTAAACTGTAAAATTTAAGAAAGAAGCACAGTGGATACATCGTATCTTAATTCTATTTTCTTGAGGTCAGTAAAATTAAATAAAAACTACATGTGTAAACCAGATAACACTATAAATAGAACTTTGATACATGTTTTAAGAGGTTAAGTTCTGACTGTCAAACAACATGAAGTTTGACTGCTATTGCCACTATTTAAAATGGACTGGATAGGAAACAATAATTTGTATGATCATTGTTAAGAAACTAGATACCAAACACTTTTTCCCAAAAGGGATTTAATTAGTATTTCATCTGGATGAAAACCATTCACTTAAACCAAAAACAGATGGGTTAGTGGAAGCATAACTAAACTTTATATACTTACTGTTTGATCTGTCAGAGGAGGAAGAACGATTTGTTTTTCTATTTTATTGAGAACTAGCTTCCATAACTCTTTCAAAACTCGCTTTAGGACTGTTTTCTCACAGATTTTTGCTGAGAGACTTAATCTGAAAAAAAAAATATCTATTCACTTTCAAATTTCATATCAAGGTATCAATTTAGGCCTTTACAATTTTCAAATGCTAAATTCCATTTACTAAATTATTATACAAAATGTATAATATCAAAAAACTATTTCATGATTCTGTACATTAGATAATTCTCTATATTTGATAGAAAGTGAAATCAGCATACTTCTTTTCTTACGTTGTTTTCTAAATCAACGGGCTTTGGAAAGAAAAATTCCTTTTTTTCCATTATACTTTAAATTCTGGGACATATGTGCAGAATGTGCAGGTTTGTTACCTAGGTATACACGTACCATGGTGGTTTGCTGCACCCATCAACTGGACATTTACATTAGATATTTCTCTGAACGTTATCCCTCCCCCAGCCCTCTACCCTGCAACAGGCCCTGGTGTGTGGTGTTCCCCTCCCTGTGTCCATGGGTTCTCATTGTTCAACTCCCACGTATGAGTGAGAACATGCATTGTTTCGTTTTCTGTTCCTGTGTTAGTTTGCTGAGAATGATCGTTTCCAGCTTCATCCATGTCCCTGCAAAGGACATGAACTCATCCCTTTTCGTGGCTGCATAGTATTCCATGGTATATATGTGCCACATTTTCTTTACCCAGTCTATCATTAATGGGCATTTGGGTTGGTTCCAAGTCTTTGCTATTGTGAATAGTGCTGCACTAAACAAACATGTGCATGTGTCTTTATAGTAGAATGATTTATAATCCCTTGGGTGTATACTCAGTAATCGGATTGCTGAGTCAAATGGTGTTTCAAGTTCTAGATCCTTGAGGAATTGCCACACTGTCTTTTAAAATGTTTGAACTAATTTACACTCCCACCAACAGTGTAAAAGCGTTCCTATTTCTCCACATCCTCTCCAGCATCCATGGTTTCCTGACTTTTAGTGATTGCCATTCTAGCTGGTGTGAGATGGTATCTCATTGTGGTTTTGATTTGATTTCTCTAATGACCAGTAATAATGAGCTTTTTTTCATATGTTCGTTGGCCGCATAAATGTCTTCTTTTGAGAAGTGTCTGTTTATATCCTTTGTCCACTTTTTGATGTTTTTGTTTGTTTGTTTTTTCTTGTAAATTTGTTTAAGTTCCTTGTAGATTCTGGATATTAGACCTTTGCCAGATGGATAGATTGCAAACTTGTCTCCCATTCTGTAGGTTGCCTGTTTACTCTGATGATAGTTTCTTTTGCTGTGCAGAAGCTCTTTAGTTTAATTAGATTCCATTTGTCAATTTTGGCATTTGTTGCCATTGCTTTTTGTGTTTCAGTCATGAAGTGTTTGCCCATGCCTATGTCCTGAATGGTTTTTCGAAGGGAATGCTTCCAGCTTTTGCCCATTCAGTATGATACTGGCTGTGGGTCTGTCATAAATAGCTCTTATTATTTTGATATATGTTCCATCAATACCCATTTTATTGAGAGTTTTTAGCATGAAGTCGTGTTGAATTTTATCAAAGGCCTTTTCTGCATCCGTTGAGATAATCATGGGTTTTCTTCTAGGGATTTTCTGGTTTTAGGTCTTAGATTTAAATTCATCTTGAGTTAATTTTTGTGTAAGGTATAAGGAAGGGGTTCACTTTCAGTTTTCTGCATATGGCTAGCCAGTTTTCCCAACGTTATTTATTAAAGAGGAAATCCTTTTCCCATTGCTTGTTTTTGTCAGGTTTGTCCAAGATCAGGTGGTTGTAGATGTGTGGCATTATTTCTGAAGCCACTGTTCTGTTCCATTGGTCTAGATATCTGTTTTGGTACCAGTACAATGCTGTTTTGGTTACTGTAGCCTTGTAATATAGTTTGAAGTCAGGTAGTGTGATGCCACCAGCTTTGTTCTTTTTGCTTAGGATTGTCTTGGCTATATGGGCTCTTTTTTTATTCCATATGAAATTTAAAGTAGTTTTTTCTAATTCTGTGAAGAAAGTCAAAGGTAGCTTGATGGGGATAGTATTTAATTGACAAATTACTTTAGGCACTATGACCATTTTCATGATATTGATTCTTCCTATCCATGAACATGAAATTTATTTCCATTTGTTTGTGTCCTCTCTTATTTCCTTGAGCAGTGTTTTATAGTTCTCCTTGGAGAGGTCCTTCACTTCCCTTCTAAGTAGTATTCCTTGGTATTTTATTCTCTTTTGTAGCAATTGTGAATGGGAGTTCACTCATGATTTGGCTCTCTGTTGTCTGTTATTGGTGTATAGGAATGCTAGTGATTTTTGCACATTGATTTTGTATCCTGAGACTTTGCTCAAGTTGCTTATCAGCTGGAGGAGATTTTAGGCTGAGATAATGGGGTTTTCCAAATATACAATCATGTCATCTGCAAACAGGGACAATTTGACTTCTTCTTTTCCTAGCTGAATACCCTTTATTTCTTTCTCTTGCATGATTGCCTTGGCCAGAACTTCCAATACTATGTTAAATAGGAGTGGTGAGAGAGGGCATCCTTGTCTTGTGCTGGTTTTCAAAGGGAATACTTCCAGCTTTTGCCCATTCAGTATGGTATTGGCTGTGGGTTTGTCATAAATATCTCTTACTATTTTGAGATACATTCCATCAGTACCTATTTTATTGAGAGTTTTTAGCGTGAAGGCGTGCTGAATTTTATCAAAGGCCTTTTCTGCATCCATTGAGATAACCATGTTTTTTTTTTTGTCACTGGTTCTGTTTATGTGATGTTTTACATTTATTGATTTGCGTATGTTGAACCAGTCTTGGATCCCAGGGTGAAGCTGACTTGATCATGGTAGATAAGCTTTTTGATGTGCTACTGGATTCGGTTTGCCAGTATTTTATTGAGGATTTTTGCATAAATCTTCATCAGGGATATTGGCCTGAAATTCTCTTTTTTTGTTCTGTCTCTGCCAGGTTTTGGTATCAGGATGATGCTGGCCTCAAAAAATGAGTTAAGAATGAGTCTCTCTTCTTCTATTGTTTGGAATAGTTTCAGAAGGAATAGCACCAGCTCCTCTTTGTACCTCTGGTAGAATTCAACTGTGAATCTGTCTGGTCCTGGGCTGTTTTTTGGTTTGTACGTTATTAATTGCTGCCTCAGTTTCAGAACTTGTTATTGGTTTATTCAGGGATTTGACTTCTCCCTGGTTTAGCCTTGGGAGGGTGTATGTGTCCAGTGATTTATCCATTTGTTCTAAATTTTCTAGTTTATTTCCGTAGAGGTGTTTATAGTATTCTCTGATGGTAGTTTGTATTTCTGTGGGATCAGTGGTGATATCCCCTTTATCATTTTTTATTGTGTCTATTTGATTCTTCTCTCTTTTTTTCTTTATTAATCTGGGTAGCAGTCTATCTCTTTTGTTAATCTTTTCAAAAAACCAGCTCCTAGATTCATTGATTTTTTGAAGGGTTTTTCATGTCTCTATCTCCTTCAGTTTTCCTCTGATCTTAGTTATTTCTTGTCTTCTCCTAGCTTTTGAATTTGTTTTCTCTTACTTCTCTAGTTCTTCTAATTTTGATGTTAGTGTGTTGATTTCAGATCTTTCCGTCTTTCTCCTGTGGGCATTTAGTGCTATAAATTTGCTGCTCAACACTGCTTTAGCTGTGTCCCAGAGATTCTGGTATGTTGTGTTTTCATTAGTGAAGTATAAATAAAATCCTTTACAGACAAGCAAATGCTGAGAGATTTTGTCACCACCAGGCCTGCCTTACAAGAGCTCCTAAAGGAAGCACTAAATGTAGAAAGGAAAAGCTGGTACCAGCCACTGCAAAAACACCAAATTCTAAAGACCATCGACACTATGAAGAAACTGCATCAACTAACAGGCAAAATAACCAGGTAGCATCATAGTGACAGGATCAAATTCACACATAACAATATTCATCTTAAATGTAAACGGGCTAAATACCCCAATTAAAAGACACAGATTGGTAAATTGGATAAAGAGTCAAGACCGATCAGTGTGCTGTATTCAGGAGACCCATCTCATGTGGTAAGACACACATATGCTCAAAATAAAGGAATGTAGGAATATTTAGCAAACAAATGGAAAGAAAAAAAAAAAACACAGAGTTTGCAATCCTAGTCTCTGATAAAACAGACTTTAAACCAACAAAGATCAAAAGAGACAAAGAAGGGCATTACAAAATGGTAAAGGGATCAATGCAACAAGAAGAATCAACTATTCTAAATATATATGCACCCAATACAGGAGCACCCAGATTCAGAAAGTTCTTAGAGACCTACTAAGAGACTTAAACTCCCACACCATAATAGTGGGAGACTTTAACACCCCACTGTCAATATTAGACAGACCAACGAGACAGAAAATTAACAAGGATATTCAGGACTTGAATTCAGCTCTGGACAAAGCAGACCTAATAGACTTCTACAGAACTCTCCACCCCATATCAACAGAATATACATTCTTCTCAGCACCACATCACACTTATTCTAAAATTGACCACATAATTGAAAGTAAAATACTCCTCAGCAAATGCAAAAGAACAGAAATCATAATGAAGAGTCTCTCAGACCACAGCACAATCAAATTAGAAATCAGGATTAAGAAACTCACTCAAAACCGCCCAACGACATGGAAACTGAACAACCTGCTCCTGAATGACTCCTGGGTATATAACAAAATCAAGGCAGAAATAAATACGTTCTTTGAAACCAATGAAAAATAACTTTTAAAGCACACAAAGTAAAATATCTTTAAAGGCAAATGATCCCTTTTATTCATATTTAATACTTATTAAACCTAGAGCAATTTCTGATATTAGTCACCAAGGTTTGGCATGACAGTTGAGAAAAGGACAACAGAACCCATATTTTTAACCCATGTTACAGCAGCAGAAGGCAGACCTTCACCACAGGGAGTCACTCTCCCAAAGCACACCATTTTCACCCTCGCCCCAACATAGTATATGCCCATGTTCATGGTCTAGGAACACCAAGGAAATACATTTTAAGCACTACTGGGCACTGGACCAACATAACAACATGGGAAAGGTATACAT